GAGCATGAGTCATGAGTGTGGGTGTGTGTATGCATGGTTAATCAAACACCATTCTTGTTGATTGATGGGTAGACTCGGGAAAGTTGAGTTGAAAATCCGAATGAGTCACATGGTTGCATGAAAGAAAAACTTGTGTCGGGTATAGCAAGAAGGGGTAGATTGCCCCCTCGGGTACAAGACCTGGCGACTTGGTTATACACTCTCCTGTGGTGAAATTCTAGAAAAGTGTAGTATGGTGTACGGAACCGGTGGTATAAAATCCAAAATCCGTTGCTCAACAATACGCAAGATTTTGATTTACAAAGTACTCATATAATGAGTAACACCNACTTGGTTATACACTCTCCTGTGGTGAAATTCTAGAAAAGTGTAGTATGGTGTACGGAACCGGTGGTATAAAAATCAAAATCCGTTGCTCAACAATACGCAAGATTTTGATTTACAAAGTACTCATATAATGAGTAACACCCATCAATGATTTGGTTTTATAATAAAACAACTTTTATTTCAAACGATCATTTGGTGGATTATTTCGTCAATTGACAGATTCAGTATACCTTGGCATTGCATTGTGTCATGAGAGTCGGTGATGACTTGGGTTTAAGTGCATGAGTGAGTATCATCTCANAATTGATGGATTCAGTATACCTCAGCATTGCATTGTGTCGTAGGAGTCGGTGATGACTTGGGTTTAAGTGCATGAGTGAGTATCATCTCATTTCATGGCATGACATGANGGCGTGATATCGAATTACTCGATATCCACGGGTATTTCGCTGGTTGATGGGTAATCAACGGACCCTCGAATTTTGGGGTGTCACAATATTAAATATATGATATGCATTTAAGTCTTTTATTTTACATTATAGAGAATCTAGTGTGTAGAGTTCAACTTATACACAAAAGATCAGATTATCGGATTCATGTATAATATGAGTAAAAGTTCACAGTCTTAGATGAAATTGGACAAACTACTAGTAGGATTGTGGTCAAATTTTCTAGCATAGTCTATCTTGATTATAGGAGACAGTTTGATGTCTCATATTGTTGCCCTAATACACTTTGTGTGGATAGGACCATTATTGAGGTTATTTTCTTTTTACTGACTAAATAAGAAAATAAATACTTCATGATTATTATAATTACTTAAACTCTTAATCTTGAGATATTTAATAGACAAGTGCATATAATGATTGTCACTTTAATTAATCAAAGAGTGTGATTCATATTTGAGTCAACAAACTCAGTGAATTGGGAGATAATATTATTTTTATGGTGAAAATTAATTATCAAAGGAAACCATATTCCGGTATTTAAATGAGTTGATATGTCCTCTTAAGGAAGTTCATAAGTTTTATCCATGTCAAAACCTGTAGGTGGATTTAGTTATCTGACATGAAAAATAAGTTAAGTGGTAAAATCTTAAAGATAAAAAGAAGTCAGTTCAATATAATTGTCATTAATTTAATTAATTGACAGATAACTGTCATCTTAACCGTGGAGAGATTATTAAGCATATAATAATGTGAAGCTCAATATAATTTTGACATAAGGCCTAAGAGATCAATAATAAGTTTTTAGTGAATTGACTTATTAATGGACCATAGGATGTTTGTTCTAAGTTGAACATAAGATTCCTATGCCCACCGGAAGCCTGACCTTTATTTCTCATGAGGGTCTCTATTGTAGGTTATATATAAACGCACTCTCTATTTCTCTAAATCATAACTTTTACCGTCACGTTTGGAAGAGGCAGAGAGATAAAACAATGAGAGAATTCGGAGGATTGCAGCCCACTCTGCATTCAAATTTTGGTGTAGAAATACGTTAAAAGATCGTGAGGTCTATCGAGCCATTGTTCGATCTACATCATTGTCGTTTGTGCTGTTTTGCTCAATGTTAGCGACAAATTTTTCCACGCAAGAAAATACCTCGCGCCTAAGTGTCGCCAACTCTTTTGACAAGGTAAACCCTAATTCTGCCTTTTAGGGTTAATAGACAAGGAAATATTTTTGTAATCAATTATACACGCTATCAGTGAATCTCGAAACTATCATTCTAACAGATGTGTGCCCAAGCCTTTTACATCTGACCAAGCGTTGATGGATAAAGCCAACTTTGCCTATAAACTGTAGCTTCAACCCTTTTGCTTTAGTTTCCATAAACATTTACTACTAGAAAGAGGTTAGACACTTTCGAAATTGTGACTTCACCAATCTAGCCTCATTGTTATGACTGAACCAAGCTATGGTGATTGCAAATATGAATATGCTCATTAGATACAACAAGCTACTAGGAGTTGTAATATATTTGATTTTTTTTTCCCGTTAAATTCTTGTTAGAGTTGTGAATTTTTTATGATATATGTGGGCAACTCTAATGATTTTTCTTTCCATAGTTTTCCTGTTCCATGGACTTTAATTCTGTATTAAGATGCTCTTTCACTTTTCTTAAATTATTGCCTCTTTCTTATCATTTTGCTGGTGTAGCAAAGAGCTTAGCATTTGCATGATCCTTTGCTCTGAATTGTTATAAAAACCTTTGGGACAAAAAAGGTTGGTTGAAAGTTCATCACTTGTTTGTACAACACTTAGCTTTTCCTGACTTCAAAAAACCAGAGATCATGGCTAGAGTGACAAAGGTTAATCCTTTAAGATTATCCAATTACAAACTAAATTCCTTTTGCATACATTCATTTACTTATTACTAGTTAAGATTCCAACAAAAAAATAATATCAACGAAGATTAGAAGGTGGAAAATCGTTTCAGTTTGTTAATTATTAGTAGAACATAAACATAGCATGCAATGGACATGAGTGGAAGAATACCTATCATGCTGATTTCTTGAAAACTCATTGCATCATGTCATACACAAATGAATTAGCTGATCAAGCTTATTTCTTATCTCAAAGATTTTTCTAAAATTAAGTATTCAATAATGTAAAATGTGTAGCTTACAAAAAAAGTTTTGACATTGACTCCTAAATTTTATGGTTCAAATATGTTAAGCACTCCTTTGTAGGTTCATTGAATTGTTTTCTTAACTGTCTAACTCCAAATAATTCTTCCCATATACGAACTAAATTTTACTCTCTGTGAATTTGATTGGTTAAAATAAAATTTCAACTGATCAACTAACTTTTCCTCTTTGTGAATTTCAGTAGGCCCCACGAATTTCAATTGGAAATTTGATAATGAAATATATTTCTACATCAAACTATTTATTTGAGTTAGAGTAACAATGAATTGATTTTCCAATTTTTTATGGTCGCAATATGTCTACGTGATTGGCCTAATTTATTTTCCACCAATTTACTTTCGAATACAGCTGCCAACATATAATTGGCTTGGTGTGACTTTTATATTTAGTAATTCCAATGTTGGGCTGATTAGTTACAGTAAGTTGGACTTTGTCAAATTGGCATGTTGTATTGTATGACAATTTTTTTATCTCAAGACCTTTTGTACAACCTCTTGTTCGATTTAGTTTTATTCCCTATTTTCACCTTTAATATTCATTCAATGAATTTGAATTTTGCTCAATTTTATTCCAAGACCTACACACCAGACCTGATTTCAATACACTCATGAGAACAAGTTAGTATTTTTCTTGAAGGTGACATCTGTCCATAAATTAGTTGGGAAGCGAAAGAGAATTGTCTTTGATTTAGTTTTAACAACGAATTTTGTTTTGGCAAATGACACCTTATATAACTCAAAATTACCACATACAACACTTGTGTACTTTAACTAGTATCTACAAATTAATGTACTTATCCTTTGGTAAAAAAATATCGTACCTTTGATAGGCGGTGATAAGGGTTTTGGATTGGTTGAAAAACCAAACAAAAGGGGGACACCTCCTCCTGTAAAACAAGCAAATTGCAAGAGACTAGAGTTGGACTAGTCGGAGGCATTAAGATGCTTAGATCGATAATGACTCTAGCAGCAAATAAGCAGATTGACAGGAAAGATGGTGCATACCTTTTGACTAAAGAAAACTTATTATGTTAGGGTCCTTCTTATGAGAAAAAAACTATTATTTTAGGGTCAAGAAAACTGATTGTTATTTGGCTCCAACAACTAGGAACATTAGGAGGGCGAGGGGCCTCGCTACAATTGTCCGTTCCAAAAGGGTGCAGAAGGCGATTGTCATTAGTGCCCTTATTTTTCTTACTCTCTTTATCTCTAACTTACCCCTAACTTTGAGGTAGGTGAGTTTATGAAGGGCAGGGTACCTGATTCAAGGGTCAATTTCTTGGATCTGCAGAAAGTTAGGGAGTTCAGACCTACAGACCATTGGTGCAAAGCTGCACATGTATTTTTGGGATAAACCCACCTACAAATCTTTCATAGCAGCTCCTTCCTTGTCTTCTCTGTAATTGTCGACCTGGTCGGGTGAGAAAGGCGTCTTCCTCCACGCAGCCGAAGGGTATTAGAAGGAACAGTAATGTTATGCAGCCGAAGGGTATTAGAAAGAACAGTAATGTTACGCTGACCAAATTTTAGGATTGAATTAAGAGCACAAATAACATGACAGTTAACTTGGGCTTCTTTATTTGATGCCATGTCATTTGGGCCCAATAAAGACTTCCAATAATATGCTGTTATGCATTTGAGCTCTTAATTTGGTCCCAAAATTTGGTTAGCATAGGGATAGGACAAGGAAGAGTTGTGACAAATTTTATCAACCTAGTCCTCAGTCCATCCTCTGGGACGATATCTAGGTCAGGAACTTCAGTTATGGTGGCAACGCAAACTGAATTTGTCCCTTTTGTTTCGAAATCAATCCTGCCCTCATTGCGAAAGAATCACATTTTCCTTTCGACCCAGCAACAGCCTACGCAAACCGAGGCAAAGGGTGATACTGACCTAATGGAGGACTTTATTTCTATTGCCGAATTAGTTAGGAGGTAGATCATTGTGAAGAAGAGGAAGGCCATAATCGAGCAATTTGTTGATGAAACTGAAGGGGCTCTGATTTGGCGGTGGTTTAGCTAATGGTGGTGGTAAATCGTTGGTTATTCTTATGTTTCTCAGATCATCCATCTAAACTCAAACATTATTTTGTTCTTATTAGGAACAAGTATTTGATTTGAGAGCCTGAGTTGTTAATAGAGGTAAAGAGGTAAAGGAGGCCCTTATCTTGAAGTCTTTGGCTGTAGAAAAGTGTGGGCGTTTGGAAAATGATTCCACCAAAGCTTCCGAAAGAGATCTCTTGACTTCAAACTGAAGTCACCACATTGTCCGAGTAGAACAGGGAGCTCGACAGGATATTGAAGGTAGCCGAACGTTCTAAGAGGATGGCCCGTGATGTGGCTTCTAAGGTGAAAGAGCTTCATTCGTCCCTCCAAACAAACTTTGAGGCGTGTCAAGATTCATTTAAGGAAGATGAGGATAAGGCCTATGATGAGAGCTTCAAAAAATTTGAGCACGATAGAGTAGATCCCTATGTTTGCGGGGTTTTTGTTCAAGAAATGATGGGATGTTGCTCTGGTGGAGGTTAATGTTCCTACCGTCTCCGAGCTTTACTCTAGGCATGCTGTGACTATTCCTGGTGGATCTTTGGCTCAAACCGATCCTCCTACTGTTGAATCTCCTACAACAGATGTTCTTGTTGCTGATCATTCCCCTACTGATCTGTGTGCGGTGATTTTTGCACGATGAAAAAGACAAATCTCTCCTTTGGTGAACTCGTGTTTGTCGGGAAAATGGTCGATTTCGTAGCAAGGAATGGATTAAGAGGGCCAAAGGGGCCCTAAGGAGTGGTGATAAATTGACCTAAGGGCTATTTGATCCATTCCGGTGGGTCGCTGATGGTTCCTGTCACACAGAAAGCAAGTTAGAAGGGCACCAGAGTGTTTTTCAACTTATCTCCTACGACGATCAAGTCAATTTTTTGAGAGGAGAGAAGGAGAAAACACAATATGGTCCTTTCGAAGTTTTTTTTGCGTACCCTGGCTTCATATTTTTGGGAACTATTTATATCCCCAAAGGCTCATTATTACAGATAGCCTAGTCAGTAGGTAATACCCAGACATAGGGCAGTGTGCCTCCTATTTTGTATTGGGGAGACTTTGTTATTGATTGCTCAGGCTCTCAAGTATTTATTGCTATCCCTTCAATGTAAAGACTTTAAATGCTCGGAGCCCAGAGCATTTATCACTCGATATCCTCGGCTTCCCAAGCTACTGTGGATGTCCCATCACTGAGAATCCATTAAATGCTTGCCTAGGACAACTATAAGTCAGCAAGGGTAGTTTTGTTTATTTACCCCACATCCTGCACTTTATGCCACGCGTCTGAATTCCCCTGGTTGAGTGTCCAGTTCATTCTATTATTCTGAATTTATTGTGCAGAGTGCCCTCATAATTCCTAGTCTAGTTTAGAATGTTCATCTGTCAATCAGTAGTCTCTCTAGAAGCCGAAGACTCGTGGCAAGATCAGAGTTTCAGTGAGTACTATCGGATCTGAGGACAATTGGCTTCCTTGGAGTGGAGGTACCCTTGGAGCTGAGGACACATGTCTGTCATAGAGACGAGGAGCACCTTGATGCCAAGCACAAGTACATGTGGTAGAGCGACACACGCCTTCGAAGCTGAGGACACGTGTCTTTCCCAAAGCAAAGACGTGCCCTCGACACCAAGGATACGTGTCTTTATTAGAATAAAAGTGTTCCCTCGGTGTCAAGGACACGTGTTGACATCTAATCCTTTCTCAGAAGTGTCCCATCAACTGCCCCCAACCCTTTAATCTTCATACGGAAGGGATACGTGTCGTCAGAAGGTGAAAAGGCTCAACCTTCTAATCATAGCTCCAGTTATTTTCCTGCCTCTAGGGATTATGCGCATTGAATGCAATTGTCCTTGTGTTTCGTGCACAATGATGGGGGCAGGGCCTGTATAAATAGAGCCCCTACTCCCTTCCTTTACTTTTTTGACCCTCGTTATCTAAAAGATTGGACACTCATCGAATTTTCGTCGAAGTTGTTGCTTTTTGCCTGATAAACCACCCAGCTTCTCTAGTTCTTACTCAAGAGGAAAAAACTCTAATCATCCTTCAATGTTCATCCACCCAGTTCCCTTTTTGGTGAGTGCTTTGTCTTTCATCCTCCCTTTTTCTTCTTTAAATTTTTTTCGGTGACTGGTTGCCTCTCAGACTTCCATTGTCTTAGTTCTGAGGAACTAGAGATCCCAGGATAGTCCCCTAGACTTCCCCTTTTTTGTCATTTCACATCTTGTAGCATCCCTTAGGATCCTCACTTTTAAGAGAGAAACCCTTTGAATCCTTTGCTTCCTTTTGTGAGAGATGCTAAGATGTCGTTTCGTCGTTGAGGTCTAAGAGGTTGGGACCTCTAGGCCGAGGAAGTGGACAGTAAAGGGCCCCCAAAAAATTGCAAACTTCAAAACTCTTTACGACATTCCTCGCAGCGTTGGTATAGATGATTTCGACCCTCAACATCATCATACTAATCTAGGCCCCGAGGACGCCATGGCCTTTTATACCAAGGCGATCATAGAAGGCGGGATCAGGTTCCCCCTCCATCTTCTTCTTCTCCAGTTCCTATCTATGTTCCGCCTCTTCCCAGGGTAATGTTGCCTTAATACTTTCAAAATAACCATGGGGATAGTGGACCTCAATAGGCACCTCGGGGTCAACCTAGGTCTCGAGGATATCCTCTTCTGCTATTCCTTGCTGAGGGTGATGCCCCCAAAAAACTTATATCTGAAAGCTTGGGGTACATCCATGTACCTAGTCACCCATCTTCCTGATTCCAACAAGGGGTACTGGGACGACTTGCTGATCTTCAGCGGCGCCTAGGAAAGGGGGGTCGACCCCGATTACGATGGCTTGTCCTGCCACAAGGAGTGGCGAATAACAAGTATGTCAGCTTCTCCCTCTCTTCTTGGCCTTTTAATTCTCTGATTACTAGTCCTGATGCTCTTCTTTCTTTTGTGCAAACATTTCCACTCACAAAACTGCTCCCTCGCCTTGACACCTAGTTAATTTTGCCGACCTTGAAACCATCTGGGGGGTACATCGGCGACAGGTTTGGATGATCTGCTAACTTGCTCCTGGACTACATTCTAGGATACAAAAAGTTTTCCCAACTTCCCCAGCCCNTGCTTTCTTTTGTGCAAACATTTCCACTCACAAAACTGCTCCCTCGCCTTGACACCTAGTTAATTTTGCCGACCTTGAAACCGTCTGGGGGGTACATCGGCGACAGGTTTGGATGATCTGCTCACTTGCTCCTGGACTACATTCTAGGATACAAAAAGTTTTCCCAACTTCCCCAGCCCTACGATCCCTCCAGGTGGTCCGAGCTCTTCTAGGAGAACTTTGAGTAAGAGGAGAACTTAGAAGAGGATCTTGACAGGGCCATTAAGGCTGAACTAGAGGGGGTCGCCGAGGGAGCTGAAGAAAGAGAAGCGGCGGTAGTCAGGGACCAATCCTCCATAATCCAAGCCGAGCCCAACACATCGGGAAGGGAGGCTTGGCCTGATTTTAGCATCCTTTAGAGTTTGGACGAGCAGGACACATTGGAAGTGGCCATGTCCCACAGACCACGCATTCACCTCAACTCCCTGAATCGGAAGGCTGCCCTGGCCGCTGGGAGGGGCAGGGGATCTTCTACCAATGTTCCACCACCCCTTCCCAAAGTCAACATCAACATCCCTCCTCCTCCTCCCATGCTGTCAAGGTCCACCGGCCTAGGTCAGGTCTATGACCGGGGCCTTCTAGTCAAGGGGGAGAGGAGGACCAAGCAAAGGCATGATGGTCTGGGCCGAGGCAAGGGCCTTCCATCTCAGCAACGACAATGATAGCAAAAACAGTAGCAACCATAGCCGCAACAACAACAACAACAACAACAACAAAACTAGCAAAATCCTCCTCCTGTTCCACCGACAGACATTTTCGAGGAGTGGCTTCCCCGGCCCATGATCGAAATAATAGAGTGATCCGAGTGAATGACTCGATTGTCCATAATCCTCATGTGGCCTATGCCGTGAATGAGACTTTTCACTTTGGTGCCGATATGGCGAAACACTGGGAACGACCGACCAATTAACTGTTCCGCTCAATCATCCAGGGCTCCCTGGTGGTAAGTTCGTGTAACTGCTCCCTTTGTTTTCCTGTCTTCTTTGCATCGGTGTAACTTTTTTCATTTTCCCTTTTAATAGGCTTCCCAATAGATATTGGTTATTGCTGCATGCTACCATGCTCTAAGGCAAAGTCTTCAGCAAGCCGAGAGGGAGAAAACTAAAGCGGAGAAGGCCCTTGCTGCTGCCAGGGAAGATGTGGCTATCAGGGATGCCACTCTATTATCCCAGGTAGCCCAAATTGCCTAACTTCTATAAGACGACGAAACTACGAGGGTCAGCATTGAAAAACTGAGTATGGCCCTTGTAGACGCTGAGAGAAGGATCACTAAGGCAATGAAGTGACTATCTGCGGCGGAGGTGAAGGCCGAGGAGTCATAGCAGACCTGCTTGACACTTACTCAAGAGCTTGACAAAGTCAGGGCCCAGGCGGAGGCGGCCAGGAAGACCGAGCAGCAGATCACCGATGAATGTGTCGATGTTGTTCTTCTTGCTATTTGGAGATGTTGCTAGGGATGCCGGTGGTGAAGTGATCAGTCCTCTTCCTCCAGCTGTTTAGACTTAGATTTTTTATTTCTCTTGTGCTTTTCTCTTCTTTTTTATTTCCCCTTTCCTTTTGAAATGAAAAATCACTTTGCTTTTCTTTCATGCATGCTTTCCTTTGATAATTTGTGTATTTGTTTGTAACCTCTAACTCCGAAAAGTTTTAACCTCGCATGTGTTGACCCTTGGGACCAAAAGGCATAGGATTTTAGAGCTTTACTTTTATCGCTTAGATGTATTCTTGGTATCCCTCGGCCTCGAGGATTCATTACCAGCAATATCAAATTTGATAGGTACCGATGCCGAGGTCATGTGTTGGGAATGGATAGCTTCGAGGGGTTTCAACGTCGAGGGCATTGAATGCACTTTCACTCTAATTAGCCTCATCTTCCTTGTTGGTTGATCCGAGGGGATAAGGCTTCTCGTGCCCCACTAACATCTTGCTAAGAAAACTTCACCCTTGCACTTGTGCAAGCACTCTAGTGGTCACCCTCGGGGTTTGTGGGAACACTTAGGCGTAATTGCACCCATTTCTAGATGCCAACNTGAGGCTTCTCGTGCCCCACTAACATCTTGCTAAGAAAACTTCACCCTTGCACTTGTGCAAGCACTCTAGTGGTCGCCCTCGGGGTTTGTGGGAACACTTAGGCGTAATTGCACCCATTTCTAGATGCCAACTATTTTCTTAAGATCTTTCCTCTTCTTAGTTCCCTGAGGTATGGTTGTTATCTTGACAACCCATTTCCAGGCTCCATTCACTTAGTTCAGACAAGTTAAACTTCTAGTGATTCACGTTTGCTTCATAAGGTGCCGCGTGACAAGGTATCCTTATTCCGCACAATATACCCGATGAGTGCCCATCTCCAACAGTCATTTTCCATTCCGGAGGTATGCTCCTATTATCAAGTTGAAGGCTGGGGTCCCCGAGACTACTTCTAGAGCCCCCACCCTTGCTAAAAGGAGAGCCCCAGTTATTTATTTGGAGGCAAGAATCTCTGAGACTCTGCTTCCATGGCCATG